TAGATAAATAGAAAAGTCTGAGATCCCAGAAATGGAACCTGAAGTCTGTGGTCATAAATCCTGACAAAGCAGGAAAGCATATCCAATGGAAAAAAGGAAAGTCTCTTCAACAAATGGCGTTGGGAATATTGGAGACCCACATGCAGAAGTATGAAAGGGGACACTTTTCTTACATCATCACAACAATGGACTCAAAGTTGATGAAGGATCTAAATGAGTCGGGAAACCATCAGAATCCTCAGATAAACACAGGCAGCTCCTTTTCTACCTCAGCTATAACCACTTCTAGACGTGTCTCCAAAGGCAAGGGAAAGAAAAGGAAAATGAAGTATGGGGACTTCATCAAGGAAAGAGCATTTTCACAACAAAGGCATCACTCAGTGTAATTAAAAGGCGACCTACAGAATGGGAGAAGATATTTGGTAATGTCACCAGATTAAAGGCTCGAATTCATATGCAAAATGAACGTATCAAGCTCAACAGCCACCAGTATCTCCAATGAGAATTGGGCAGAATTTGCGAACAGACTTCCTGTCCTGTCCTGAGATCCCACATCACACCATATATTAGGGAGCTCATCCTCATGTAAAAAGAAATTCATTCGCTCTCGTAGATTTGCCATATATCAAACAAAATATTAGAAGAAAGTGTCTGACAGAAAAGAAAGAAAACATCAATGCCCCTAAGTCGAAGATTACTGTAGAAATTAGGCAATAATAAAATAAGAGATTTTAAAATCATTCAACAGAAATAAAATAATTTCTTTACATAAACATAATCAACGAGGAAAATCATTCCAAAAAAAAAAAAAAAAACCACTTCAAAGTATGTAATGAACTCAGGGAAAATTCAGGATATCAAATCAAAATAGACCATAAAGTTAATTTCTACGCACTAACAACCAATTTTCTGTATAAAATAAACAAAACTGTCCCCTTTACACTGGAATCAAAAATAAATATTTAAAACTACACTTCTTTAAGGAGAGAAAATGCTCTTTAAAAATGAACTATATTAATGAGAGACTTTCAAAAAGGCACAGAAATGTGAAGATAAATACGTTGATGGTTTAGAACATCATAAATCCACTGTGCCACCAAAAGAAAGTGATCTACCGTTGTGAAGTAATGCGTGTATATAACTTGTAAAGAATTGAATCTAAGACTGGAGCTGACTATATAGTCAGGGGACATGCAAATCGGGTGCTCCCTACACTGATTAAACCAGCTGAGTCCCGACCATAAACGTGGAGAGGAGCCCCAGGTGACACCATTCAGTGCTCAGGGCACAACACAGACAACTCACCATGGAGTCTGTGCTCGGCTGGGTTTTCCTTGTCACTATTTTAAAAGGTAATTCATGGAGAACAAGAGACCTTGAGTCTGTGAGTGGAGGTGAGTGAGCGAAAGAGGGGATGTGGGACCGTTTCCTGACCAGGATGTCTTGTGTCTGCAGGTGTCCAGGGTGAGGTGCAGCTGGTGGAGTCTGGGGGAGACCTGGTGAAGCCTGGGGGGTCCCTGAGACTCTCCTGTGTGGCCTCGGGATTCACCTTCAGTAGCTACTGGATGTACTGGGTCCGTCAGGCTCCAGGGAAGGGGCTGCAGTGGATCTCCAGTATTAGCAATAGTGGAAGTAGCACAAGCTACGCAGACGCTGTGAAGGGCCGATTCACCATCTCCAGAGACAACGCCAAGAACACGCTGTATCTGCAGATGAACAGCCTGAGAGCCGAGGACACGGCCATGTATTACTGTGCGAAGGACACAGTGAGGGAACCTCAGTGTGAGCCCAGACACAAACCTCCCTGTGGAAGGGGATCAGGACCACCAGGGGGTGCACACTCCTCACCACAGCTGTCTTTCCTAATTCAACCATGCCCACACCTCACTTTCAGCCTGTCTAGACACCCATCATCTCATGACATCCCTGTTTGGGGACTTCCTGCACTAATGGAAAAGGCTTGTTAATACTAGGTGCTATTGGATACTCAGAAAGCATGAACAAGTGTCTACTGGCATTCATCAGAAGCTACTATTCCTCTATAGGGAATATGTCAGAGCTCGGTGATTCATGTTTACCTTGTGCTGTTCCCCTGACTTTCACCACCTGACACGAATAATGGATGTCTGTTTCTAATTCAATAGTTTTAATGCAATGTCTAGTTCTAGATACTATGAATCTCTTGACTTCCCCTGGAGATTTCCTAGACCCAACAATTGCACTACTGGGATTTACTACAAAGATAGAGATGCAGTGAAAGACCACGAAACCCACACCCCAATGTTTATAGCAGCAAGGTCCATAGTAGCGAAACTGTGGAAGGAGCCTCAGTGTCCATCGAAAGAATAATGGATAAAGAAGATGTGGTGTATATATGCAATGGAATATTACTTCATTAGAAATAAAGAACACCCACCATTTGCTTTGACATGAATGGAACTGGAGGGTATTATGTTGAGTAAAGTAAGTCAGTCACAGAAGAACGAATATATGGCCTCATTCATTTAGGGAATATAAAAAGTAGTGAAAAAGAGTAAAGGGGAAAGGAGATAAAATAAGTGGGAAATATCAGAGAGGTCGACAGTACATGAGAGACTCCTAACTCTGGGAAAGGAACTCTGGGAAGGAACTCTGGGAAGGGGTAGTGGTATGGGAGGTTGGCAGGGGTAGGGGTGACTGGGTGACGGGCAGTGAGGCGTCACTTGACCTGATGAGCACTGAGTGTTATACTATATGTTGGCAAAGCGCACTGCAATGAAAAATAATTCAGAAATAAAATTGAAGGGAGACAGAACATAAAGACTCCCAACTCTGGGAAACGAACTAGAGGTGGTGGAAGGGGAGGAGGGCGGGGGGTGGGGGTGAATGGGTGACGGGCACTGAGGGGGACACTTGACGGGATGAGCACTGGGTGTTACTCTGTATGTTGATAAATTGAACACCAATAAAAATTAATTTATTAAAAAAAAGAAATAAAATTAAAAACAAAAAAAAACTTCAGATGAGGAATAATACTAACCAAATAGGAAAGGACCTATAGTCTGAAAATTCTAAAATACATATTAAATACATTAAAGAAGACAGAAATATATGGAAAACAAGTCTATTCTCTTGTATTGGAAAAATAAATATTCATATAATATCTATGCCACCAACAGCAATCTATGCATTCCATATGAACCCTATCAAAACACCACCAACATTTTTCTAGGAAACGGAAGAAGCCTAAAATTTGTAACTAAACAGAAAAGATTCTGAGTAGGCAAAAGAATGTTGAAACAAAAAACAAATCAGGGCAGCCCGGGTGGCTCAGCATTTTAGCACTGCCTTTATGTCCAGGGCGTGATCCTTGAGACCTGGAAACGAGTCCCATATTAGGCTCCCTGCATGGCGCCTGCTGCTCCCTCTGCCTGTGTCTCTGCCATTCTCTCTGTCTCTCTGTGTCTCTCATGAGTAAATAAAAAAAAACTTAAAAAAAATCAAAACAAAAGCCATCACAATTCTGGATTTCAAAGTTGTGGTCATCAAGAGAGCATAATAGTAGCAATAGAACATGCACATAGGTCAATGGAATAGAATAGAGAACCCAGAAATGGACACACAGCTCTGTGGTCAACTTATCCTCGACAAAGTACAAAAGACTATCGACTAGAAAAAGGACAATCTCTTCCACAAGTGGTGTTGGGAACATTGGACAGCTGCAAGTAGAAGAATGAACCTGGGCCACATTCTTACACTCCACACAAACATAAACTCAGAGTAGATGAAAGACCTAAATGTGAGGCAAGAAACCATCAAAATCAAGGAGATTTTGTGACCTCGGCCACAAACAGGTTCTTGGTACTCGAATCTCCAAAGGGAAGGGAAACAAAAGTAAAAATGAACTCTATGGACTACACCAAGGAAGGAGCTGTCGTACAGCTGTGGAAACACTCAACATAATTAAAAGGCAACCTAACAACTGGAAAAGATACGGACACCTGTGTAGCTTGAGCATCTGTCTTTGGCTCAGGGAGTCCTAGAGCTCTAGGATTGAGACCAGCATCAGGCTCCCTGTGGGGAGCCCAATACTCCCTCTGCCTGTCTCTGCATCTCTCTCTCTGTCTCTCATGAATGAACAAATAACATCTTCCAAAAGAATAAAAACAATGGGAGAAGAGATTTGCAAATCTATCTCCAGATTATGGCAGGTTTCCAAAATTGAAAAATAAATTACTCAACTAAACAACCACAAAGTGAAAACTACAATCAGAAATGGGTGGGAGACATGAAGAGACACCGGTCCTGATTTGAGTTGTCAACTCTCACTGTATATTAGGTAGGTCATCCACATGCCAAATGGAATTTATTGTCTCCTCTAGGTCTGCCTTATATCAACTGCATGATTGGAACAGACAATGCATCCTGAAGACAAGAGGAAAATACTTTCTGCCCCAGACTGGAGGACCTGCCAAAAAACGTAGCAAGAAAACCACTTTAAAAAAAAGAAAACTCGGTAACCTGGAAAGAAAATAATTAGTTTTCCTATGACAATATCTTAATAGTCTATGAGTAAAAACCTTACATAAAAACTGGAAGAAATACCTCATGAGCTCAGAAGAAAAATCAGGATATAAAATCAGCAAATAAAGATATATTCCTACAAAATAACAATTTACATATTCAAAATAACAAAATAATCCGATTTACACTGGCACGAAAAATAAATATTTAGGATTAAATTTTACTAATAAATTGAAATTTCTCCAGAAAATGACCTATATTGATGCGTGTCTTTGGAAATACACGCAGAAACTCAAAAAGAACTGAGCTGAGAACTTCATAGAGTCAGAGGACCATCTACACAAATTGCTATAGAATTGTGGTGCAACACTTGTGCTGGCTTTTAAATACATGAATGTAAGTCTGGAGCTGGTTATATAGTCAGAGGACATGCAAATAGGGACCACCCTCCACTGATTAAACGAGGCCAGGCCTGACCCTGTGGCCGGGAGAGCAGTCCCAGCCCCAGGATCCCCAGGTGACCCTATTCAGTGCTGAGGACACAACACAGACAAACCACCATGGAGTCTGTGCTCGGCTGGGTTTTCCTTGTCGCTATTTTAAAAGGTAATTCATGGAGAACAAGACACATGGAGTCTGTGAGTAGAGATGAGTGAGAGAAAATGGGGATGTGGGACAGTTTCCTGACCAGGATGTCTTGTGTCTGCAGGTGTCCAGGGTGAGGTGCAGCTGGTGGAGTCTGGGGGAGACCTGGTGAAGCCTGGGGGGTCCCTGAGACTCTCCTGTGTGGCCTCCGGATTCACCTTCAGTAGCTACGGCATGAGCTGGGTCCACCAGGCTCCAGGGAAGGGGCTGCAGTGGGTCGCACACATTAACAGTGGTGGAAGTAGCACAAGCTACGCAGACGCTGTGAAGGGCCGATTCACCATCTCCAGAGACAACGCCAAGAACACGCTGTATCTGCAGATGAACAGCCTGAGAGCCGAGGACACGGCCGTGTATTACTGTGTGAAGGACACAGTGAAGGGACCTCAGTGTGAGCCCAGACACAAACCTCCCTGTGGAAGGGGATCGGAACCACCAGGGGGTGCACACTCCTCACCACTTCTGTCTTGAAGGCCCAGGAGCAGGTGCAGAGGGAGGTTCTGGGCAGGTTTCCTGTCAGTGTCTGGGCTTCCTCTCCAAGGAGCAGTTTCCCCCAAGGAGTCTCTCTGAACACTTGATTGTGTGTTTACCTCTTCAGTCTCTTCTTAGAGACCTAGAATTGAACTATACCACTTGCACTTACTTGTACTTAACTTTTCCTGACCCGAAATTTTAATCAATTACAAATAACTCCATTGACATCATCTGAACCTTTTCATGAGTCCTAGCGGCACTCACTGTGGATCACAGGACCCCAAGCTAACATGCTGTCTTGCACATCTTGGTATAGAGGAATCCCCAATCAACACAAGAGAAAAGAGACATCATACAAAAATTTTAATAACAGCCTGGGGTGAGAGTGATTCCCAGCATGACATGGTAGGGAAGTGGACTCAGAGGTCATTCACACACACACACACACACACACACACACACACACACAATAATGAGAGTATAACCTTTCATCACCTTCACCTTCATGTCTGATGAGAGCCAGGCCGGCCTCTCATCATGTCACAAATGCCTGTATGGTGCCAGGGAATGACACTGGCTCTGGGTGTGTGTTGTGGGCCAGTGGTGGGTACGGAATCCAGCTCCAGGAAGGGCTTGTGTGGAGTTAGTGTCCCAACTGCATCAAAAGAGGGAACTCCTGGGTTATTGTTTGATTTCTTTTCCTTTGGGTGGAGGAGAAGAATGAGGAAGGAATATCAGGGAGATACCTGTTAATAAAGACTGGATATGGTGTGAGGAATTTCACTAAACCAGAGTAAAACTGGAAGGAAAAATGAGAAACATGGTCATTCTCAGTAGACAAGTGTCTGAGTCATATGGAAAGGAGATGAATAATATATGGAAGCGGCACAAAACTTTAAATAATAATACAAATAGGCCAAGATCCTACCCAGCTCTCAGATGGAAGCTGTCCTCTTCCCAAGGAACCATCTGGTCCTGAAGGTCATGTGTACTTGGTGTGCTCAGAGACCAGAGGCTTCTACTGGACCATGAGGATCCTCAGGGAGAGGAGCTGGATTGAAGGACCTTCGACCTGCAGGCAAAACTCATGGATCCTTCAGGTGCTTACGTCAGTTCACTGGTTGTGACCTTTACCATCCCTGTGGTGACACCTAATGCCCATGTGATGGGGGAGGAGGTGGAGCCTTAGGGACCACTTAGGTTAGGAGGTACAGCCTCATGATGGGATCAGGGCATTAATACACCAGGACTGGGAAAGCTCCCTGCACCACGGCTCCATGTGAGGTGACTGGGAAAGGATGAGGTAGGATATGGGCGCTCTCCAGACAACACAGCTCCCTGCACTTGGACCTCAGATGACCCAGACACCAGATCTGTGAGAATGAGTGTCTGTTGTTTGATCTGCCCAGCTCATGTATGATGTTCCAACAGGGGCGCAGGCTTAAGTAATTTTTTTCTTTATTTAAATTGAATTATCCAACATTCACTCTACCCTCAGTGTTCATCACATCAGGTAAACTCCTTAACTCCCATCACCCAGTTACCCCATTCCCCACCTCCTCCCTTCCAGTGACCCTCATTTTTTTCCCCAGAGTTAAGTGTCTCCATGATTTGTCTTCCACTCTAGTCTTACCCCACTAAGTTTCACTCCTTCCCTTATGGTCTCTTTCAATATCAATGAGACCATATCATTGCCTTTCTGCAATGGATTTATTTCTCTCAATATAATGACTCCAGTTCCATCCATGTTGACGGAAACATTATTTCATGTTATCCATTATGTCTGACGGGTATGTAATATCCCATTGTATATATAAAGCACATCTTTTTTTTGTATATTTTTTATGGGAGTGCGATTTGCCAACACATAGCATAACACCCAGTGCTCATCCCATCAAGGGCTCCCTCAGGGCCTGTCACCCAGTCACCCCCATCCCCCGCCCACCTCCCCAACCACTACCCCTGATTCTTTTCCCAGAGTTAGGAGTCTCTCAACTTCTGTCACCCTCTCTGATATTTCCACTCATTTTCTTTCCATTATCCTATAATCCCTTTTACTGTTTTTTATATTCCCCAAGAATGAGACCATATAATGTTTGTCCTTCTCCAATTGACTTACTTCACTCAGCATAATACCCTCCAGTTCCATCCACGTCGAAGCAATTGGTGGGTATTCGTCGTTTCTAATGGCTGAGTAACATCCCATCGTATACATAGACCAGAGCTTCTTTATCCGTTCATCTGTCAATAGACACTGAGGCTCCTTCCACTGTTTGGCTGTTGTGGACTTTGCTGCTGTGAACATTGAGGTACAAGTGTCCCTTCGTTTCACTAAATCTGTGCCTTTGGGGTAAATAGCCTGTAGTGCAATGGCTGGCTCCTGGGCTGTCTCTATTCTCACGTTTTCAGGACATTCCATTCTGTTTTCTGTAGAGGCTCAACAAGCCTAATTCCCTCCAGGAATGAAAGAGGCTTCCACTTTCTCAATATCCTCCCTTATATTTATTGTTTCTGGCCTTTTTACTTTATCCATTCTGAGTTGTATAAATGGGATCTTAGTGTGGTTTTCATTTGTATTTCTCAGATGACAAGTCATGTGGATCATTTTTGTCCTCTGCCTGTTGGCCATTTGTCAGTCTTCTTTGGAGAAAAGCCTGTTCAAGTATTCTCCCCATTTCTTGACTGGATTGATTGTTTTGTTGGGTGCTGACTTTGTTAAGGGAATATCTTGTCCTATTCTGTAGGCTGCCTTTAGATTTGTCACCTGTTGCATTGTTGTGCAGATTCCATCTTGATGAAGCCCTAACAGTTTATTTTTCCCTTTGTTTCCTGTGCCTTTTGAGAGGTGCCTTGGTAGCAGTCCCTGAAACTGAGGACAAAAAGATGCTACCTGAATTCCCCTCTAGGATTTGGATGAATTGCAGCCTCAGATTTCAGTGTTTCATTATTTTGTGATTATCTTTGTGCTTGGTGCAGCAGAATTGTCCACTTTCATTCTTATGCAGGTGGATGTACAATTTTTTTCAGGTCCTTTGTTGATGTGTCTTTCCTTCATTAGATATTTTTTTCTTGCTTTTTGAGGAGTAGTTGCCCACAGAGCTCAGGGTCCCTTTCTGCGCTCTCTGCTCTGTTCAATTTGTCTATGTGTTGTTTTTGCAGGTACCAGACTATCTTGATGATAAAGGCTTTATCATAGAGCTTTCCTGCAGACATTGTTATGCCCTCCAGCTGTAGTTTTGTTTCTGTTGGTTTTTTTTTTTCCAAAATGATTCTACCTGTTTGGCAACTTAGGAAAGAAATTGAAGAAGACACAAAGAGATGGAAAACATTCTGTGCTTACAGATTAGAACAACGGATATTGTCAGGGCACCTGTTTTGCTCAGAGGTTGAGTGTCTGCAATTCGCTGGGGTTGTGATCCTGAGGTCCTGGGATGGTGTCCTGCATCAGGCTTTTGGAAGGGAGCCTGTTTCTCCCTCTGCCTCTGTGACTTTCCTGAATAAATAAATCTTTAAAACAAATAAAAAATATTGGGGATCCCTGGCTGGCTCAGCAGTTTGGTGCCTCCCTTTGGCCCAGGATGTGATCCTGGAGTCCCGGAATTGTGTCCAACGTTGGGCTCCCAGCATAGACCTGCTTCTCAGTCAGGCTGTGTCTCTGCCTCTCTCTCTCTCTCTCTCTCTCTCTCTCTCTCTCTCTCTCATAAATGAATAAATAAAATCTTTAAAAAAAAAACAAAAATAAATCCTGTGAAAATCTCTACATTGCCCAGAACCTTCTACATATTCTTTTTTTTTTCCTTCTACATATTCAAAGCAATCCTTGTGAAAGCATCCTGGACATTTTTCACAGAGTATGAACATATAATCCTAAGATTTTTATGGCACACACAGAGACATTAGGGACACATGGATGCACTGGCATGGCCCTGCTGTATTTGTTGTGAGTAGTATCACGTAACCACCCTCATCCAGTGAAGGGTGCATTTCTCACCTGGAACTAGGACTAATCTGTTGCAAACCATCGGTATCTGTCAAAAAGTCACAGTGGACACACTGAACAGGAGAACAATGATACAAGAGAGTCAGATATACTCAGACACTTTGGAACTCCAGTTTAAGGATGTTCTGTTATAACATTTCCAGAAGATGAGGATGTGATGACCCAGTGGGATTTGTGTCTCACCATCACCTTACAGGGTTGTGTTGTACTGATGGCTGTTAGGTGTGTCCCTTGTCACTGGATGAACATTTGGTGCCCCGTGTCCTCATTTAAACCCACCTGCATCTGTGACTCTGCCTCCGGACATGAGATCAGTTTCCCTTTAGGATTTCCTCAATGGAACCCCTCATGGGTCCTACAGGACTTATTTGGCCTTTATCATATTATTTAAATGCAATCATTTCTGTCATGGAATTTGCAACAACCAGGTAACATGACCCGGTTATGTCAATATCTAACAGCTCTACCATCCTATTCCATAGTCTACATGTGAACTTACATGACAGTGAAGCTATTTCAGGGAAGGTAAGTCCACTCATGGTCAGCAAGGCAGGGGAGCAGCTCTGAATGCTCAGAAGCAGGGCATTGGTTGGCTGTGATGATTTCATCAACATTTATACAAATAGCAGCTGTCCCCAGACATGAACATTCAGAAAATAGATGTGAGATGATAGAGCAAGGGATGGAGCACACAGTTCCTCTTGCAGTGTGCAGCCCTGGACCTGAGCTGGGCTTACATGGATGTCTAAATGCACAGTGCAATTGGCAATGGATTGTTATCATTTGCTGTTTGTGTTGTTTCCTCTGTAGATGCTCACACCCCACCATGCTGAAACCTGTCTTGGGGTATTGTGACTCTTCCTGGCTGCATTGGAGAGCCGTTATGAACATGGCCTCCTATCTCTAGCCTGGGATTGAATGTTTGCACCCCGGAGTCTTCAGGGAGCCCTCATAGGAGAGGCATAAAGCCCTTTCTGTCCTCAGTTGACATCTGAATCATGTGTTCACCATACCTGTGTCTGGGCTGGTGTATCTCAGGCACATGAATGGATCTCTAAACGACAATATGAAAGGCTCTGTAGTGTGGACCTGGGCTCGTCCTCTGAGGGCTTGTCACGAGAGAGGGTCTAGTTTCTGCCTGCTGGTTTCAGAATAGAGGTCACAGGACCACACAGCGTTCAGTTTATGGAAACAAAGCACAACGCCTGCACTCAGACCAATGTTCACACGTCTATAGGTTCCAGTCCTTCTTCAACATGCATCACATTGTGCTACTTTTTCTTCTTGGCACTTTCTCCTGTCCTTAGATCCAGGAAATATCCCTATTTTTCCATTTGAGCACCATCATGCCAGGTCCGTCCCCCGCAGGAGTAGAATTGTACAAGTTCATACGTTCCTCTCTTGTCCTTAAAATCCTTGACAGTAGCGTCTGCAAGCAACCTCCCTCCTGCTGTCCTCCTCATGGTTGTATCTCCCCAATGTCAACACCGCACAGCTCCAAACTCCAAAACCTGCTCAGTATTCTATTAGGAGTCTTCCTGTTGTTTTTTTCAACTCTGATCGATTTCATGGATGTTCGAAATGATTCAATAACTATCCAGCTGTTTCAGGGTTGTGACAAGCCCCGAGTCCCCTAAATCTTCTGACATGTTAACTTCTCTCTCCCATGTTTTCTTATACTAAAGATGGTGTGGTGAATTTTTTCTGATTTATATGTTGGAGGTGAACTTTGGACCCTGGTGTTTTGTTTCAGAGTATCGTAAACTTATTTTCACCCCTACTCTGATTCTGGATCCTAAGGACTCATTTTTGTTTGTACAAGCCTACTGAGTATTGTACTAATATTATATTATGTTTCAAGAAGTAATTATACACATATGTGGTGCATGCACATAAGGTCATCCAACAAGTGACATAAGGAGCAATGCACCACCTGGCAGTGGGACTGGGGCTTCAAGGAGGGCAGAGATGCTCCCAAAGGACCAGAATTGCAGGAATATTATTGGCAGGACTCCATGTCTCTGTGCAGGTGGACACAGGCCATTTGGGTGGTGGGCTCTGCTTGCAGTCTTCCTGATCATCTGATCCATTCAAAGATGGAAAGGGGGGTACCCGGGTGCTCAGCAGTTTAGTGCTGCCTTCAGCCCAGGGCCTGATCCTGGAGATCAGGGATCGAGTCCCACATCAGGCTCCATGCATGGAGCCTGCTTCTCCCTCTGCCTGTGTCTCTGCATCTCTCTCTCTTTCTCTGTGTCTCTGATGAATAAATAAAACATTAAAAAGACAAAGATGGAATTGGCTAGATTTGGAAACAGAACAGAAGTCCTGTATGCAGCCCGCAGGGTCAGGGGGACTGATCGAAGAAAACCAAAATTACGGTTGACCAGAGGCACAAATTGAAATTGGTTTGAAACTGAAATTTCCTGCTGCATTTGTTATCAAAAATACCTGATAAATCCGTAGAAGAGGTTCATGGTAGATAGTTTTCTTCTCTTAGATGGAATATAGTATCTGAATGTAAAAAGAATTCATGAAAAACTTACAGTTGCAAAGCAGCACCATACTGTTAGTTTAGGAGGGATAAGAAAAATAGAAATATAGGGTATACAATGGAAAATGTTCATTCTGACACGAGTTTATTATATCCCAATCTCTGCTTGAATGAGCTCATTCTGCATCAGGTAAGCTCATCAAAGCGATTACAGAAGATCACAGAGTTAACTGCAGTGGAACACAGTGACTGAGTTGTTAGAGACTTACAAATAGAACTGCATTACCTGAAACCCTCTGAAATTCAGCTAAATTCTAAATTTAGAATTGCAGGAATATTATAGGCAAGACTCTGTGTCTTTGTGAAGTGGACACAGGCGTCTTTTGGTCGGTGGACTCTGCTGGCAGTCTTCCTGATGCATGTGATCCATTCAAAGTTGCAATGTGTTAGATTTGGAGACAGAAGACAAGTCCTGTACATAGCCCATAGGGTCAGGGGGAATCATCCGAGAAATTCAAAATTAAGGTTGATTAAAGGCATAGATTGAAAGAATTGAAACTGAATTTTCCTGCCACATTTGTTATCAAAAATACCTTTCATCAAAATACATCATTTTTTTAATAATAAATTTGTTTTTATTGATGCTCAATTTGCCAACATACAGAAACAGCCAGTGCTCATCCTGCCAAGTGCTCCCCTCCGTGCCCATCACCCAGTCACCCCAACACTCCGCCCACCTCCCCTTCCATTACCCCTTGTTCATTTCCCAGAGTTAGGTGTCTCTCATGTTGTGTCACCCTCACAGAAATTTTCACTCATCTTCTCTCCTTTCCTTTTATTCCCTTTCACTAATTTTTATATTCCCCAAATGAATGAGACCATATAATGTTTATCCATTTCCGATTGACTTTCTTAATCAGCATCACACCCTCCAGGTCCATCCATGTCAAAGCAAAAGGTGGGTATTTGTCGTTTCTAATGGCTGAGTAATATTCCATTGTATACATAGATCACATCTTCTTTGATACAATAATATTTTTATTTATTTTATTTATTTTTTATAATAAATTTATTTTTATTGGTGTTCAATTTGCCAACATACAGAATAACACCCAGTGCTCATCCCGTGGAATGCCCACCTCACTGCCCATCACCCATTCACCCCCACCCCCCACCCTCCTCCCCTTCCACCACCCCTAGTTCATTTCCCAGAGTTAGGAGTCTTCATGTTCTGTCTCCCTTTCTGATATTTCCCACACATTTCTTCTGCCTTCCCTTATATTCCCTTTCACTATTATTTATACTCCCCAAATGAATGAGAACATATAATGTTTGTCCTTCTCCGATTGACTTACTTCACTCAGCATAATACCCTCCAGTTCCATCCATGTTGATTTCTAGCAGCAATGTCCACAATAGCCAAACTCTGGAAGGAGACTCGATGTCCATCGAAAGATGAATGGATAAAGAAGATGTGGTCTATGTGTACAATGGAATGTTACTCAGCCATTAAAAATGACAAATACCTACCCCTTGCTACAATAATATTTTTAAATAAAACGGTTTTGTTTTTTGTTACATTGAATTAGCCAACTTATACTACATACTTCTTTTCTGATGTTCAATAATGCATCAGGTGCTTATAACACCCAGTATTGATGACATCATTTACCTCTTTAATGCACATCACACAATGACCCAATAGACCCACTAACTTCCCCAGGATTATACCTCATTCTGTTT